GAGCCCAGCTTCCCACTGAATCAAGTATTGTTGCTCCCTCAGTAGCTAGACCCAGCTGTACGTAGTGCCCACTTCAATTCTGCCTCACTCTTGGCAATTTCTTTCTGGGGCCCAGTTGTCTCTCCTCATAACCTATCTTCCTTTCCTTCTTTACTGTTCCTACCATTAAGTCCGAATTGCAGCCAAAGGGTTCCTGGAACTTTGCAAAGCTGGACTTGTGATTAGGTAGCTGTGTGCGTCTGCAAACACTTCACGAACTAAGATATTTCATGAAAATTTCTATGAGCACTAACCTAATTCTCCCCCGTACCTACTCCAATCTCAGATCTGACTGCACCAAGACACTCTAACAAATATTCCGCATGATTCATAGTAAGCACTTAGAAATTAGTTGAAACTGTCACCCAGACTCAGAACTATCAGTGGTGTGGAGTTCAGAGGATATCTTGTCACAGGCCAGGGGATAGAAAGATGAGTTTTTGTTTTTCCTTTGGCTGTTAAAAAATCACATACACCAAATAGTGTGCTTTGCTCCACTTTGAGGTCTCCTTCATGCTAGAACATGTTTTTGTTTAAGATGCACTATCACCAGGAGGAGGTGGTTTGTGAGGCAAAGGGCAGAATCCAGTTTAAAATATCTCAGAAGATTTTCTGGCTATTGTCCATCCTGTTCTCTCAAGCTGTGTATGGGTGCAGCATTCATAACCTTGGAGAGTAAATAACACTGCCAGTTGCAAAATAGGGACATGTAGAAGTTGATTGATAACTGTATTATAAAGGAGCCTGACAGTGGCGGGTGTGTCCTGGAGATCAGAGGGTGTGGTGTCCTTTTAGTTAGAAATTGGAAAAACAAAACAAAACAAAAAACCAGCCACCTGTGAGGCAATTCAGTTTTGTTTAGGTTACAGCAGTTGCGATCTCTTGACACTTATTGTACATTCTTTCTTTTTTTAGAATGTGAAACTAACACTGAATCAAGTCAAGGTAGTTATTTTTTTTTAAGTTAGAATGAAATAAGTCCGTCTAAGTGCCCTTTGTTCAATTTTTGTTTTTCTCAAAAAGTCGTATTAATTTATTTGGATAGCATCAAGTGTTTAAAATAGATCTAATAGTAAAAATTGGTAACATGAATTAGTGGAAGGGTTTCTGATCAGAAAATCTATAGATAAAGGAAAAGCATCTAGAAGAGCAAAAATAAAATAACCTGGTTGGGGGCGGGGGGGGAGAGGGGTCATCTAGGTCTATTCATTGCCCTTACTAATAGTTTAAAGGTTATTTCTTATTGTTCTTCATATTTTTCTATCTAAATATTGAAATCATACTGCTGTGTGTGTGTGTGTGTGTGTGTCCGTGTCCTGCATTTGCTAACCTAGCTCCTGGGAGAATCTGTCTCACTTTGTTCCATGATTACCTGGCTACCCCACCCTACACTAGACTCTTACTGTCAAAGGCAAATGGGCTGAACCATGGATTTGCATGTAAATGTTATGCGGGTTAGTATTTGAATGGCTGGGACAGGAAGACCGTCCTTCCTGGTGTATGCTCTCAGCATGTTTTGGACTCATTGACTTGAGCCAGTCTCCTATGTAAGTAAGTCTCTCATCTGAACTTTCTTTTTCTTGCTTTCAGTCCATTTCTTTTCCTTGGTTTTACCATATCCATTAGATTACCTTGTTGACAATCTGCCCAGGTCTCACAGTCGTTGTGTGGGGGTTAGATTCTCCTAGAGGTCCAGGATGTTGGTTGGAATAGGGGTGACTTTTGAAGCTGGAAGAAAAGAGCACAATTGGGAGAAGTTTTTGCTGAGTTATCTCCCACCCCCACTCCCTGAGGGGCTCTATCTCCAACTTTCATTAACGATAACTCTAAACTTGAAAAAAAATGTTTCTTTTGTCTGGTTATTCTTGTAAGAAAAGAAAAAATCTTGGTAGACCAAATTTGTGAAAATCTAGGTTTGAGATATGTTGTATATTGGCTTGTTTCTGAATAGTGAGATTTATACAGATTAATAAATTGGAGCACTATCCAATCGCTTAACTTACAACTGTTCCAAAACAATGCAGTAATGTATGACTACCAAATAGATGACATTTCTCCAAAATCTCATAATTGTTATTTATTTAATTAATATATATTTATGTTTAGCAAAAGGCTTCTCATTAAAATGTTTCATATATGACGTTTAGGACAAAAGAGAGGCTTATGCAGAGGTTCGGACAAATGAGACATTTGTAATATGATGGAGACAAACTATATTTTTGCTGTATTCATTATCTTGACACTAAATAATTTGACTTTTTAAAAAATCGAAGTGTGTGCAAAATGGTGGGTTCCTTTCCATATTGGAAGCTAGTTTAATTAAATAGGAAATAACTACATTCTCTTTATACTTCATAAATTCAAACGCAAGTATCCATGACCCTGACAGGTACAAGACGTCTCTTTCTCACTAAATTAACTTTTAGTTAGTGCAATATTATTATTACATGTAACAAACATTATTCATTATAGCCCAATAGTAAGTGTTATTTCAAACTACACATAACAAATTTTTTTATGTTATGGAGTGTGAAAAGGGCCTGATTTTTATTATTATTAAGGAATCATTCTTTGTTGACTTTTATGAAGTATGATATTCAATGAAACTGAAAGATATTTATTTTTTATCTTTATAGCTTTATTTCTTATATACATTGGAATATAGTTAAATAAGCATACAGTAATTACTAATACAAGTTATTAAAATATTTTTTAAGGATAGGGCCATCATTAATTAACTACCCAGAGTATAAGGTACAATTTCTCTACAAAATTTAATTCAAGTATTATCCTACTCTGTCCTGTTCTGTGCATATTACTTTCCTCTGTGGAATGCTGCCTATAATATATGAAGTGTTTGTTTTATATATTTGTCTTCCTAACTGGCCTACAAGCTCTCCTGGGGCAAGAACTGTGTTTTTGTGTGTCACTGTTCCTAGTACAAAGTGGGCCTTTGATGATCATTGTTGAATTAAATTAAACTGATGTCTTGAGGGGCTTCAGTCTGACCCATATAATCTGACCCAAAGATATTTAAACCAGAGAAGAACTGAAATAAAAGGAAGAGGACTCCTCAGTATTAATACGTAGGAGAATTAGATATAAATTCTAGCTTTGCAAAGTTTGTGGAGTTTTCTAAACATTTGAGGTGAACATTTAAAAATTTTATTAGAAGTCTTTGCCTCCCCAATAACCTGGGTTAGGGTATCTCAGAAATAGTTGTTTTTTTTGGGGGGGGGGTGTTTGTTGTAGTTATTTATCTTCACCCAAGGATATCTTTCCATTGATTTCTTAGAGTGGAAGGGAGGGGGGAGAGACAGAGAGAAACATTGATGTGAGAGACACATCGATTGGTTGCCTCCCACATGTGTCCCAACCAGGTCCAGGGATAGAGCTTGCAACCATGGTATGTGCCCTTGACCAGAATCAAACCCAGGACTCTTCAGTCTGCAGGCCAACACTTTGCTAGGGCTCAGAAACAGTTTTGTTTACAGGGGAGAGGACACTATATTTATTTTGATCTGGGTTTACAGGCTGACACCACCATTCTGAATATTCCTGGGAAATTCATTTATTCATTGGCTTTACTTTCCTTACCTAAAAAGTAACCTTTTCTTGTTAAAACCCACTGCATCAGATTGTTGGGAAATTAAATGAGATGATACATAAAAGGGCTTTTGTAAATTTTAATGTACTCAACAGATAGATGTAAGCTGCTGGTATTGTACTGGGTAACACATTCAGCAAACTCTTGTAGACCTTCACTTCTTCTGTGGCTATGGTCAGGTTTATCTTGAATGGATTCTAACTACTGTGTATGATACCCAGCATCCTGCCACTGAAACCTGTTGTTGGTTGTGGCAGTTAACACATTTTATGTTTGATTATGGAATACTTTAAATGTGTCCATTTTTTCATTGTCTGTGCAGAGGTTTTTTTTAAAACAGCTTTTTAAAAAACTATTTTTTAATTGATTTCAGAGGGAGAAGGAGAGAGCGATAGAAATATCAATGATGAGAGAGAATCATTGATCAGCTGCCTCTTGCACACCATCTACTGGGGGCCAAGCCTGCAACCCGGGCATGTGCCCCAACCAGGAATAGAACCGTGACCTCCCGGTTCATAGGTCGACACAGAACCACTGAGCCATGCTGGCTGGACATGTGCAGGTTTTTGATATGTCCAAATAATTTCAGTTTTATTAAATTTTAATTTATTTTCCTAAATAGATCAAATAATAATGAAAATATGCTTATTAGAAAATATTATTATTACAGAGAAACCTATGTTCTACTGTATTTTTTGAAATAGAATAAGTGAACTCATCACCCCTAATGTCCCAAAGTTCCCCCCAAATTAGGAACTCCTGATAGAGACTAAGTTCAAAAGAGATTTCCAAACATTTGGCCAAGCAGGCTGGGACTTGTTAAGCCCATTTGAGCACCTAATAATAGGTGCTGCCTTAGCGGGAATCCTTTAGATCTTTGAGAATTTGATTAAGTTTAAAGTGTCTGATCTGTCAAGCTAGAAAATTGAGAACCATTTTAAAACCACCAGGTCAAAAGTTTTAGGTTGAGTAATATCTCCATAAGTAGAAATGTTTTATGTCCACATAGAATGTTCTGTTTAAAGAAAACTTGACTTAAGTCCATGAAACAAATTCAACCTGCCCTTTATGTTTAGAATTTGTCTTGCCCAAGAATTTGTCAGGTTTTATTTATATATTAGACTTGGAAGTATACTGCAAGTTGGATTTTTTTTTTGCAAGTACAGCGTTGAGGAAGTAGGCCTATCCATCTGCCCTGTGTAATCCCATCTCCATATCCTCTCCAAAAGAGCTAAGTCAATATAGGTTCTTTAAAATTATATGAAAATGTTTGCTTAAAACCACCTTTCTGGAGTGGAAAATGTCAAATTGTTGGACTTATTTCTCCTTTTTCCCTTTTTTTCCCCTTCAGGAGAATGGTATTGAACGCTTGACTCCTGAGAGCCTGCCACAGTCCAGGTTTGCCTTGTCTGTTGTATGTGTGTGAATTTGTGTGCATATTCAATTAATTTTTGAGAGATTTCTTTGGGCCTGACACCTCAAAATATTTCTTCCACTCTTTTGGCAGAGACTATCCCACACTATCATCTCCTGGACCCACGTCATCCACTGAGAGTACTGTAACTTCAAGTGGTGAGTGGACTTGGAAAAGATATCAACATAGAGTGTTAGTGTTATCACTGTGAGCTTGCGGTCCTGTGCCTTGCTGACGTGTGTGCAAATGAAAGGAACGTAGGCAAATACTTTTGCATAGTATTCGTGCTCTTAGTTTCTCCCTGTCAGAAACTTTGAATAAGGCTTCTGGTTACCTTGCTTGTAAATCATTCTGTGAGAAAAAGAAGGACAGAAGATCAGATTCTGCTATGATAAAAGTCAAAGGTAAGCTCTTAAAGGGATCAAGTATGGTTTCCAATCTGAAACACTAAGCAGGCCTATAAGCTAGTAGAGTAACTATTCTCAGTAGCATTATTTTTTAAAAAGAATTTGGGAACTTAGTTTAGAGAAATTAAGTCCAAGAGATGACTATTGCCTTTACATATGGTAATGTTACCAACCTTTTTTTTTTTTTTCAATTCTGTATATAAAACCAAAATTACAATAAATTCAATAAAATTTTCTTTATGGCAAAGATTGATTAGCCACAACTGGGTCTCGACTTTGGCTTGGATGTAGAATCTGAGCCAAAGGAAATTCCAGAACCCTAGTTAGAATCTATTAGGTTATGAGGTAGACCAATTAGTGATGGTCCCATTCAGGAGGCAAAAGAACTAACTAGATGACATATTAGATCCTTTCTGCCACTTGACTCTGAAAATAAAGTAGTTATTGTCAACCATTCCCAGTGAGACACCACTTATTATAAATAATATGGAGGGGAATTTGCCAATATGTACCAAAATGTTAATTGTGCATATCTTGTGATAAAACAATTTGATTTCAGGGAATTTATTCTATAGATCTAAGTACACACATACAATACAACATATGTATGAATTTATTTTCTGTATTGTCTGTAATAACAAAATATTGAAAACAAGTTAACTATCAGTAGGATAGAATACTAGTTAATATATTTTGACATATCCATGTAATGAAATACTTATATGTATTCATAAAACATATATGAGGAACCTGTTTTCTTGGAAGGTTAAGAACTATTATTTCTTGAAGAAGAAAACCACACTCACCAATAATTATGTATTAAATGTAAAAATTTATTAAAAGAAATACAGAAAAAAGTTTTTTGTATGTATAAAATATCTTTGGAAGGGTAGATAAAACAACAGAAAGTGGGTTTCTGTATGGCATGGATGGGAGGACAAATTTTCACTGTGAAACATTTTAAATTTTTAAATGTATGGACCATATGAATTTATTATTTGTCTTAAAACTTAAAGAAAAATGAAAATAAAATTTCCATAGGGAAAAAAAATATACCTCTGAAGAAGTGTTTACCATTTTGTTCTTATTTCCATAAAAATTTGAAAATATAACACAGTCTTCAACTATTTTTTTTTCTTAAACAGAAAGGAACAAAACCTACCTATAGCTGTTAACTTTTGTGCCTACACTGAGCTAAATTCAGGACAATGGATCCTGTGAAGAGGAAAATCATTATTAAGTACATTACAATGCAAATAAAGTACACGAAAATAAGGGGAAATTACACAAAGGAATGGCATAATTTAAAAGCCATCTTCTCTTCTTAGTTTGATGACATTTTATTTAGAAAGATACATATTTTAGAAGGCTATCTTTTGTTATCAGCCTTAGGTATGTAATTTTTTAAAACCTGTTTGTCAGGCTATAAAAAAGCTACTAAGCTACTAATTGCCCATCCTTCCTTCATCCAGTTTCTATAATTATACTAGTAATGTGCTTATTTTTTAACAAAGCAGCAGCAGCCTTTAAAAAGATATTAAAATCTGGAGTATTTGAAGGCCATTTATACAGATGTTAATTTCTACTAATTATATGGCTAGCTTCCCTGGGAACCTCAGCTTCTCTAGTCTTGATTCTGAATCAATGGGCACCTTTAAAGTTATGCAATATGAATTTATCTCACATGTTAAGGCTTGTGCTCTCACTAGTCTGCTCATATTGCCACCCTCACTATTTCTTCCTCTTTTTTTTGATACAGCTCCCCAACTGTTTAGTGTGTTTTCTTTTTCTCATAGACGCAAGTCCAGCTCATGAGAATATTGCACTCCAAAGCTCTGTGAATGAGAACAAAACCATGTTAAATCTGGTAAGGAAATATACATGAGTTAACAATAAAAGTAATGATATATTACAATGGTGGAACTGTTCCTTTAAGTTTGCAAAAATACTCTGAAAGGCACTATCTCATTTTCTCCTTTCAAAACATCATGGGGTTAGAAGAATGTAATTATACAAATATTTTATAAGAAAGTTGAGGCCAAAGCATCCCTGTGACTTGTCCCAGCTCACACAGCAGAGTCTTTAATTCACTCATTTATTCTTCAAAGGTCTAGTGAAAACAAGCCCAATATCAATCAGTAGAGGACTTTTAAATAAGTGAAAGCGCTAATAAACAAGGTTGAATAAAACACTGATATCTATCTTAAAGATATGTTCTAATTAGGGGAAGAAGCATACAGTTACTCCATAATTGGAGTGCGATGAGTGATGTGAGAGGAAAATGCTTGGGGTGAGAGGCCAAAAGAGATGTCATGGAGGAGGTATGAACACAAGAACATGAGAGGAGGGAGGGAGGAAGATGAGGAGAATTTGTGGGGTAAAATAAGATCAGTTGGAAATAAAGTTTCAGGCCGATGTGAGACATCAATAGTTTGTAAGGAGATTTCATATGTGACTACTAGTATAAACCCATTTCCTTAAACTTGCCAATGGGACTTTTAGAAGCAGATACACATTTGTGAGTTATCCGCAAAGAACCAAGTATGTGGATAAGATTTCCCAAGGATTTAGCAGTCAGGAAGAGAGCACTGAGGATAATTAACTCTCAGTGATTCCACTTTCTAATATGAGAAGGCAGTGCAGAGGAGCCTGAGGAGAAGGTGTTGCAGTGATGGGGAGGTGTTGGGAGAGCAGAACCAAGGGAGGAGACATCTTCAAAGGGTAATGGATCGTCTTAGATGCCGCAGTGAAGTCAAGTAAGACAAAGACTGGAGAACAGCCTTTGGATTTGGCAGCAGGGAGTTCACTGATAACGGAGAGAGCCGTTTTCTTGGTGTGTTGGGTATAGGAGCAGAGTAGTTTGTTGTTGACTAATGGGACACAAAGAACTGGAGACTCAACCATGGACAACTCCTCCCAGAGCGTGGCCATGAAGGTCAGGAGAGGGAGAAAATGTCATAGCTGGAAGCGGTCACGGGGTTGAATGAGGATTCAAAAAACTTAAGAATATTTTAATGTTGACAAGAACGATCCAGTGCTTTACCTGTAGTATTGCAATTGTTACAATTTATCGGTCTTAGTTTCAACTGCCTTCAAATTACATGATATGGTTATCAGTGGCTCTACCAAGGAAATTTGACTTAGACTCATTTTTATGGAAAATTTCTAAGAATGTTGAATAATTATTATCATAAAATGATTGTATACCTACAGCTTTCCCATCAGATTGCCCAGGCAGTGCAATATAACCCTCTTATTATGGAGATTCTTGTTGTATAGATACATTTGTAAGAGAGGTGATCAGTGACCTTCAAGCAATTTCATATGGAGTAAAAGCCGAACAGCACCATCTTGGCTGTTTATTTTTGCCGCAGTTTCTCCAATAACCCATTGCATGCGATAGTCCGAGAACACCCCACCCCCCTTTCCCTCTCCATACATCCGATCCTACCTCTCCGTCAGGCTTCCGTATGTTCCACGTCAGCAGACACTTTCCATGCTACTCCGGCCATGGCGTCTCTCTCCCTCCTCTGCCATGCACCTACTTATCTAGATCCCATTTATTTAGCCATTCATCCTAGTTTGCTTAGTGGTAACTTGTATCCTGTTTGCAGCTTTTCATATATTTCTGTCCTTCGTGCTGCAGCTAGATTGGAAACCCCCCTGGGGCCAGTCCTGTTTCTTCTTTAACCCTAGGACAGTTTGTTGTTTGTTTTTAGTGTTTTGACCAGGTAGGGTTAGGGGAGGACAGGAAGTTGGTTATAAAGGATATCCACTCGATGTACAACAATAAAATGTCTTTATGATTTTAGGAAGCCAAAGAGGAAACCAAAACCATAAATGAGCCTAGGAAAGAATGTGTCGCAGGAGGTAAGGCATGCTCTCTCTGAAACCCCGTGTGAACTTTTTTTCCCTGCTGGCATTTTTAAGGGTGAAGTCTTTCTGAGTACAGATGCGGCATCTACAAATTGTGCATCACTAGATAAAATTAGACAATAGAACTGATTTTTGATTCCGTTTGTATTGTTTTCAAAAAGTCACACTAATGTTGCCGCTGATCGTTAGACCCCAGAGGACGACTGCCCTGTTGTGAACTAAGAACCATGCCAATGTTGGGAGTAAATTCTCCAAGTTCATGAGTCAGTATTTAAAGAACAAGTGCTCTAAGCTTCCCTCCCCATTTCACCTTTAATAGGAGGGAGTAGTGGGCAGAATTCAGGCTTTGGGGTCACGCAGACTCTATACTGGGTCAGTCTCTGATTAGCTTTGACTTTGGGAAGTTATGTAATTTGAGTCTTAATTTTCTCATCTGCAAAATGGAAAAGATGAGTAAAAAGATGTTACCCTTTATGGAGAGCATTCTATGTGCTAAATTCTTTACGTACATAGTTTTATTTAGGTCTCCCAAATACCTACGTGTGGTAGGTAAACTGTGATTTGGTTTCCTAGACTGGGAACTGCAGATAATAACAGTATCTATCACAGACGTTTTACTGTGAGGATTGAATAAATTATGTTTGAAGCACTTAGGAAAGTGTTAGGCAGAGAAGTTTCCATAAAAGTTAGCTACTATAGAACAATAAGATCATCCTTATTTTGTAAATGGTCTGATGAAGTTGATACTTCTCCTCTTTGTGAAGTTGTCGTTAAGAGTGTCACTAGTACAGATGACGAGCTTTGCGTGGGACTGGCAGGTAGTAAACCTGTGATTGAATGGTTGAGACCATGTGTATTGTTGATGTTGTTGTCATCAGTATCAGTGTGGTTATTATTATTATTATTACATTATTATTGTTCTTACCACTAGTACTACCATCACTATTACTCTTGCTGCTGCTATTCTAACTTTGCTATGAAAGAACCAGGGCACCAGAGGAAGGTATGCATTTAGCCCCAGGATCAAGTCAAAAAACATTCAAATGCAAAGAGAAAAAATGGAGCTGTCTCTTGAGTCAAAGACTATTCATTCACATGCCGAATGAATAGCATAGCATAACATTATGCTATGTTTCAGCAAATGCATTATTAGCTATCATCTCAGACATATTTCAGTGAAACGCCTTTGTTTAGTGATGAGAGGACATAACATTTTATTGAATGTGCCTTTAGCTATTGCTGTTAATAAGCCTTTTTAACCAAATAATCTCTTACTGTCTTTTAATAGACGCTGCCGTTTCCTCTCCTCCTGTAACCACTGTGAAATCGGTTAACTTTAAACAAAGTGACAAGTAAGCTCTTCTTCACATAGCATGCTAACGTTTTTTGCTTTTCTGTTGAATTGTGTTTGAATAAGTTCTTTGTCTTATCCTACAGCACTTCTGCGAATGAGAAGGAGGTAGAGGTGAGTTTAAAGTAAATGTTTTTTATTTTAATGTTTAAAAAGTGTTTCAGGCTCACTTGCGTATAGTCCAGCCGTGGGCAAACTACGGCCCACGGGCCGGATCTGGCCCATTTGAAATGAATAAAACAAACAAACAAAAAAAAGACCGTACCCTTTTATGTAATGATGTTTACTTTGAATTTATATTAGTTCACACAAACACTCCATCCATGCTTTTGTTCCGGCCCTCTGGTCCAGTTTAAGAACCCATTGTGGCCCTCGAGTCAAAAAGTTTGCCCACCCCTGGTATAGTCGCTTCACACTTTTGCACAGCTGCCAAACATTTGGTGATGACAAAGTGCAGGTCAAGTCTATGCGTGTCAACACTGTGTTGCTGAGAAGAGAAAGAAATGCCTCGGTATAATTCAGTATTAAACTAAGATATTTGACTACATCCAATTTTCTCCCTTGACCTTCATGTTAATTTGACAACAGGCCGAATTTCTCAGATTATCTTTGGGATTTAAGTGTGACTGGTTCACCTTAGAGAAAAGACTGAAGCTTGAAGAAAGAACCCGTGACTTGGCAGAAGAAAATTTGAAGAAAGAAATCACTAACTGTGTGAAGCTGTTGGAGGTAAGAATCACGACATTTGGGGGCTGTGCAATGTTTTTAAAATTGCATATAAGTTTACTTATCTGACTGAAACTGACACCAAGTACCAAGCACTCCCTGTCCACTCAGTGTGAATTAAGAGGAGGCAAGAATTCAGAATCAGGGTAAAATAAAAAAGATTCACTAATCGGAGAGAATAAGAAATAAACAATAAATGCCTTTTAAATTAGTCGTATGAGTTCTCTGACTTCGTTCTATATTTTCAAATAGATTTCAGGCAGAAAAGTTATTAGATAGAAAACTGAGAAATAGGAGATCATATCAATTTTAATATTCAAAGAAAATAAAAGTCTATTTCCATCTAATTAACTAAAAAAACAGAGAGCCCTCTGTAAGATTACAGAGCAATGTAACAACTACTATTCTTCCATTTTGGAAAGTCACAATAAATACAGAGATAGGTTGGGAAACTAAGAGGGTTAATTGTGGGAAAGAAAAATAAAAGTTTAGAAACCATACTCTGTATTTTTTTTATTGTGGTAAAAGACACCTAGCAAAATTTACCATATTAACCATTTTAAGGGTACAGTTCCGTAGTGTTACCTATATTTACATTGCTGTGAACAGATGTTCAGCTCTCCCTTCCCCCTCTTCACAGCCCTAGTAACCACCATTCTACTGTCTGTTTCTATGAATTTGACTAATTTAGTTACCTCATATAAGTGGAACCATACAGTACTTGTCTTTTTGTAACTGACTTATTTCACTTAGCATACTATCTTCAAAGTTAATTCATGTTGTGGCATATGACGGGGTTTCCTTCCTTCCTACGGCTGAATGAAATGTTCCATTTGTGTATATACCACGTTTTGTTTCTTCATTTATTGATGGACATTTGAGTTGCTTCTACCTCTTGGCTATTGTGGACATTGCTGCTATGAACAGGGTGTGCAAATATCTCTTTGAGAACCCTGCTTTCAGTTATTTTAGAAAGATTCCCAAAAGTGGGATTGCTGGATCATATGGAGTTCTAGTTTTATGGTTTTTGTAAGGAGCAACCATACTGTTTTGCATAGTGGTTACACTATTTTACAATCCTACTAACAGTGCACAAAGGTTTCAATTTCTTCACATCCTAGCCAACAGGTTCTTTTCTGATTTTTTCCCCCCATGGTAGCCTTCCTAATGGGTGAAAGGTAGTATCTCATTGTGGTTTTCTATTTGCCTTTCCCTGATGATTAGGTTTGTTGAGCATCTTTTCATATGCTTGTTGGCCATTTGTGTATCATCTTTGGAGCAAAATGTCTATTTAGGTCCTTTGTCAATTTTTCAGTAAGATGTGTGATTTGCAAATACTTTCTCCTATTCCATTGGTTGCCTTTTCCCTCTGTCCTTTGATGCACAAAAGGTTTTAAGTTTGCTGTATTACTATGGGTCTATTTTTGCTTTTGTTGCCTGGGCTTTTGGTGTCATATCCAAGCAATCATTGCCAAATCCAACGTCATTAAGCTTTATCCTATATTTTCTTCTGGAGTTGCATAGTTTTGGTTTTTTAATCCATTTTGAATTGATTTTTATATATGATATAAGATGAGAGTTCCAATTCACTCTTTTGCATGTGGCTATTCAGTTTTTCCAACATCATCTGTTGAAGAGACAAGCCTGTTCCTCATTGTGTACTCTTGGCACCACTGCCAAAGATAATTTGACCCGATATGCATTGGTTTATTTCTGGGCACTCTATTCTGTTCCATTATCTATAGGTCTGTCTTTAAGCCAGTACACTTTTGATTACTCTGGCTTTGTAATGTTTTGAAAGCAGGAAGTACGAATCCTCCAAGTTTGTTCCCTTTTTTTAAGTTGTTTTGGCTATTTAGAATCTTTTGAGATTCCATATGAATTTTGAATGAATTTTTCTATTTCTGCAAAAAATTCCATTGAGGTTTTGATAGAGATTGCATTAAATCTGTAGACTGATTTTGGTGATATGGGCATCTTTTTTTTTTCCACTGTATAACTTTTGACTTTTATATATATATGAATTGAAGTCTTCCAATTTATGGCACAGGATGTCTTTCCCTTTATGTATGTGTCTTAGTTTCTTTCAGCAGTGTTTTATAGTTTTTAGTGTACAAATCTTTACCTCCTTGGTAAGATTTATTCCTAGGTATTTTATTTTCTGTGGTGCTATTGCAAATGAAATTGTTTTCTTAATTTCATTTTTTATTGTTCATTGTTAGTGTATATAAATGCAATTTATTTTTGTATGTTGATTTGTATCCTACGACTTTGTTAAATTCATTTATTCTAACAGTCTTTTGTGGAATCTTTGGGGTTATATAACAGAAATAATTTTACTTCTTCCTCTCCAATGTGGCATTTTATTTCTTTCACTTGCCTAATTGCTCTGGCAAGGACTTCCAGTACTAAACTGCATAGAAGTGGTGAGAGTAGGCATCTTGCCTTGTTCCTGATCTTATAGAAAAAATTTTGTCTTTCACCATTAAATATTGTTAGCTGATGGCTTTTCATCTATGTCCTCTATTATACTGAGGTAGTTTTCTTCTATTTCTAGTTTTTTGAATGTTTTTTTTTCAAATTTTATTTTTTATTACAAAGGGTATTACATATGTGTCCATTTTTTTCCCCGCCCTAGACAGTCCCCTAGCCTCCCCTATTCCCCAGTGTCTTATGTATGAAGGGTGTTAAATCTTGTCAAATATTTTTCTGCAATAATTTAGATGATGAGGTGGCTTTATCTTTTAATCTCTTAATGCGGCTTATTGCATCAATTGATTTGTATATGTGAAACCATCCTTAATTCCAAGAACCAATCTTACTTGGCCATAGGTACAGCCCTTTTAATGTGCTGTTGAATTTAGTTTGCTAATATTTTGTTGAGAATGTTTATATAAGTATTCATAATGGATAATGTAATTTTCTCATAGCCTGGCTTTGGTATCAATGTAATAATACTGGCTACAAAGAATTGTCTTGCAAGTATTCCCTCCTCTTTAATTTTTTGGAAGAATTTCAGAAGGATTGGTGTTAATTCTTTAGTTGTTTGGTAGAATTCTCCAGTAAAGCCTGGTACTGGACTTTGTTTTGTTGGGGTATTTTTGATAACTCTTTCAATCTCCTTACTAGTTATTGATTTATTCAAATAGTCTATTTCTTCACAATTCAGTTTTCTTAAACCATTTCCTTTGGCTGAGAACTAATATCTGCTCTCCCCTTTACAATTAAGGTGGTTTTTTAAACTATCAAGGAAATTGTGTGTTTGATAATGGCTATTCCAATTGATTAGCAGCTCATACATGTCTGTCTGCTTCAGAAGTGTCTGCCATTCATTGAACACCTACTGTGTAGCAAACAACTGGCATCTATTACCTCTCATGTCACAGTATTCCTGGAAAGGAGATAGAATTGTCTTTTCCTGACAGATGAGAAAATAGTAAATCAGAAAGTTTGACACTATAACCTTTCTATAATTAGGGTGCAATTTACAGTCAATATTACCTTATAATTTTATTGGTAGAACTTTTTCCTTTTTTTGCTATATGAAGTGTATGGTGTTTGAGATTGGGGCAAGTCTTCAAAATATGCTCATGATCACACAGCTAGGGAGCAGTAGCTTGTTTGCTTCCAAACTCGCTATTCTCTTAATTCTGTCCCCACCCCAGTGAGAAGGATGGTCCTCCAAGGGAAGGCCATCATTTTGCATGAAGGGCACAGGTTGGAGAGAAATATTCATATGGCAATGAAGGCATACCCACATAATCAGCCCAGTCACTTTGTCACCAATGGAAGAGCAAGTGTAGTAGTCAGAACCATACCTAATTTCAGTAAATTTTCATTACTTTTCTTAAAAGTTCAAACTATGCTCCTCAATAACATATTCAACTTGTTTATAAGCATATTTCTTAATATTACCAATTACGCCCATTCCATTGTAGAAGAAAAATATAAATACACATAAAGGTAGGGCAAATTTGAGAGGAAGGGATCAAGAATAGATATAGAAGGCTTTGTGAGTCCCTGAATAGGCCTACTTGATAGCAAATAAAGGTATTAATATTTCAGTATCTTTCATTATTGGTCTTAGCAGTGCTTTTCATTCTCCACCAAGAAAATTGAGATTTGACTGTTGTCTGCACTTACAATATAGTGTTAGAATCGCTTGCTGGATTTGGGGGTTGGATGCTTCCTAATGCCTTGCTTTCTGTGCAGTTGTTAACACCTCTTTGTGAAGATGACAACCAGGCCCAGGAGATCATCAAGAAGCTGGAGAACAGTATAACGTTCCTCAGCCAGTGCACATTACGAGTGGCCAGCAGGGCTGAGATGTTGGGAGCCATTAATCAGGTAATCTTTCTCTATTTCTGTAGTTATAATGAAATTACTAAAATGATTATTTTCCCTGAAATTATAGATTATATTTCTAAGAATAAGTTTTAGAAAACTCTTTATTGTACAAGACATATATGTTTAATACAGAAAAATGAAAAATGGCATATGTGAATAAAAATGTAAAATAGAATCTCTCAGAATAGTATTAGCCAGTGACAGTCATTATAAAAATGTTGTTATAGTTTTGTAGACACTGCCTTCATACAGTGTTATAATCTGCTTCTTTTTCACTCAACATATAGCATGGATAGCTTTCTGTGTGGTATAAATCCATAAGTGACATTATTTTATGGTATTGGTTGAATAGATCATAAATTATTTAACCAATCCCCTATATTTAATCATTTCAGAATATACTTGATATTTTGCTCTTGTAAACACTACTATAATAAATATCCTCAGATATGCAGCTTTGCATACTTATTCATAGAGAAGTAGAATTTCAAATTTTCTTTGTGGGAAAACTTTAATTTTTGTAATCTATAGCTAAACAAATTTGTTAAAATATATTTTCCTAAGAAGGAGAAATTTAAGTGTAGAGAGAGTTTTAGTTTGATCATTTGTTATACACTTTTAATATCCTACTTCCTTTTTATCCCCTCACTATCTAATAATATTTTATTTTTATTAAAGTTATGTATACATAGTTTTAAAAAGTTAAGTAGTTTTTCTGGCCAGTGTGGCTCAGTGGTTGAGCACTGACCCATGCCCCAAGAGGTCACAGGTTTGATTCCTTACCCAGGGCATATGCCTGGGTTGCTGGCTTGATTCCCAGCAGGATGTGTGCAGGAGGCAGCCGATTAATGTAGATGTTTCTCTCTCATTGATGTTTCTCTCTCTCCTTCTCCCTTCCTCTCTCTCTAAAACAAAACATATTTAAAAAATAAAAAGTTAAGTAGTTCAATAAAGGCTTATTATCCCACTAGAGGCTCAGTGCATGAAATTTGTGCATGGGGGTTGGTGTCCCTCAGCCCAGCCTAAACCCTCTCCTATCTGGGACCCCTTGGAGGATGTCCGACTGCCATTTTAGGCCCGCTCCCTATGGAGTCCTCTTACTGTCAGCAGTTTAGGCCCTATGGGATCTAGCCTAAAACGGCAGTTGGACATCCCTCTCACAATCCGGAACTGCTGGCTCCCAACCATTCGCCTGCCTGCCTGCCTAATTGCCCCTAACCGCTTCTGCCCGCCAGCCTGATCACCTCCTAACCACT